TGGCTGCACTTGCAGAGCACCTTTTTCTCTCCCCCTCCCCTCCCCTCCACTTCCCTTCATCCCCCTCCCTCCCCTCCCCTCCCCTCTGCTCCCTCCCTTCCCCTCCTTCCCTTTCCTTTCTTTTTTTTTTCTTTGGGAATCCAGCTAGGCCAGAGCTCTGGCACTGAGCCCCACCCTGGCCAGGTGTCCATCCCCACTAGTTTCCCCTTTGTGGGGATCAGCATTGGTCCCCTCCCCCCAAGTGAACTTGCTGGTACCTACCACCCCTCCTGACTTTCCACTCACCAGAAATGCCAAACCCCGAAGCCCAGCAGGCTCTGAAGTAGAGGCTAGATCCAAAACCAATGCCTTTTAATCTTATTTTGTTGAACATACTTGGGCCCTTGCAAATTATTATTTGAAGTTTTTTCCCCTAAAGCTCTCTCCTTATTTGGGTAAAGGGAGAGACTAGAGGATGTTTTGTTTGTTTTTCTCATAAGAAACAGCAGGGCTTGGAGAAGACAGATTCCGGACTGCTCTCTCACTCACCAGTGGCTGAACCAGTGAGATCAACCCCGTGGCCTCTGATAAACCCAGGTGCACAAACAAAAGCAAAGCCAGAAAAGTCAGTTCATAAGTACTCATGGAGGAAAGCCCCAGGCCCTGCTCAGGAGTTCCATTTGCTGGGCACTTCCCGTCTGCCCAAGATAAGCATCTGACAGTCTACCCTGCAGGTTGGAACAGAGAGGACCAACCCCCACCCCATTTACAGAGGGAAACTGAGGCCCAGAGAGGGCAGAGCACAGAATTCCTTCTCAATATTTGTGTGTGTGTGTGTGTGTGTGTGTGTGCATGTGTGTGTATGTGGTGTGTAGTGCTGCTGGGATTGAACCCAAAGTTTTGTACATGCTAGGCAGCTGGTCTACTACTAAGCTACATCAGCAGACCTTGGCTTTGGAGACTCAGGTAGCTCAGGCTATGCTCAAACTCAAGATTCTCCTGGCATGTGCCACCAGAGAAATGAATCAGAAGACCGTTGGTGCCTGTGGGGTTCCATGTCCTCTCCAGCCAGCCACCATGTCAGCCTTTGTTTCTGGTATTTTCAGACCACGGAGGCTAGTTGTTTCCATTTGGTTCTTTCTAACTGCTTCTTCCTGAAGAGACACAGGTTAAACTCTGGGGACAAGACACAGAGTAGGTACCACTGAGGCTTCTCTGTTCTGTGACCCCAGGAAGCACCAGCAGTTGGTTTGGTTATTGGTGATGCCAGACTTGATCACTGCATTAAGTGGGTATCTCCAGCTCTCCATACGGATTCACCCCATGCATGGCATTATGTATTTATCTGTTGTTATGTGACAGTTGTAAAATGGTGACTGCTGTTTAGTTACAACTTCTGCCTTTGTTAACTGGTTTCCAGGTCCTTGCACACACTATATACCCTGGTCCTCACCCCACTTCTTTTTAAAAAAAAATATTTATTATTTTTATTTTATGTGTATGTGTATTGCCTGTATGTATATAAGGACACCCATGTCGTGCAATGCCTATGGAGGTCAGAAGAAGGTGTCAAATTCCCCTGGAACTGGAGTTATGGACTGTTGTTACCCGCCGTGTGTGGGTGCTGGTAATCAAACCCAGGTCCTCTGCAACCCAACTGCTAAGCCATGTCTATAGCTCCCCCCCAACCTCACTCCTTACATGCACCACATCTGGCTCTCCCATTACTTTTAAACCAATTTTTAAACTTATGTGTATGTGTGTGAGGGTACGTGCATGTGTGTGCAGGTGACCGTGGAGATCAGACGCATGGAATCCCCCAAACTTGAGTTACCGACAGTTGCAAGCTCCCCAACATGGGTGCTGGGAACCGACTGCAGGTCCCCTGCAAGAGCAGTATGTGCCCTTAACCACCGAGCCATCTTCCGAGCCCCAAACATTTTTCAAAGTACCAGTACTGACTCCCCGACTTGTATTTTATCGAACGGATTAAGTGTAAATGCATTACTGTGTATTACTGCCATTATTTATTTTGTGTGCTTCTTCAAGCAGCCCCAGGCTGGCTCCTTTGACACGTGCCCACTATTCTTTGAGAATTTCTTTACTTTCTGGCATCAGAGAAAGAATCTTGCTCTTCCTGCCCTGGCCTGCCCAGCCTGCAGTCAGTCCTTCTCCAAGGGGCCAGGGGCCCTTTATTGGGAAGGTTTTTAGAATCTAAGCATTGTAACTGTGTTCTTTGTGGGGGCTGGGAGTTGAAGGGGACAGATGGTGTTGCTTCTAGGACCTTTTAGTGGTCAGAAGTAAAAGTTGCTTTGCTTATTAATTTATTTGTGTGCGTGTGTGTGCATTTGTGCATGTGTGTGTATTTGTGTGTGTCTTCTTTTGCTTTCTGCCTTATTTTTTTGAAGCAGTGTTGCTCATTGGTCTTTGAGCTCATTGATTCAAAAAGAGCGGCTGGTCAGTGAGCCTCAGGGGTCCCCCCGTCTCTGCCTCCCCAGCACTGGGATTACAGGTATACCACCATGTCTGGCTTTTTT